CACTCTCACTCACTCACTCTCACTCACTCTCACTCACTCTCACTCACTCCCACTCACTCACTCACTCTCACTCTCACTCACTCTCACTCACTCTCACTCACTCACACTCACTCACACTCTCACTCACTCACACTCTCACTCACTCACACTCTCACTCTCACTCTCACTCTCACTCACACTCACACTCACACTCACACTCACACTCACTCACTCACTCACTCACACACTCACTCACTCACTCACTCACTCACTCACACACTCACACTCACACTCACACTCACACTCACACTCACTCTCACTCACTCACTCACTCACTCACTCACTCACTCACTCACTCACTCACACACACACACTCACTCACCATCACCACGATCTCCACCTTCATCACCACCGTCTAGATCTCTAGACTTTCTAGTGCTACACTTCTAGACCTCACACACACTGTTTGGGGTCTCTTGCCGTGATAATTTGTTTCTATTGCACTTTGCCTCCCGTGGTAGGCTCTATACATCTTTGACATTTGTTCTTTGAGTGGGGTCACAGAACCCGCTCGAGGGTCAAAAGTTTTGCCAGAGTGGCCATGCCCAGAATTGCTATCAAGGTAATACAGGTACCTACCTAAGTTTCACCTTGGCCACTTAGCATTTTATATCATTCACATTGCGCATTAATGGCGGCAGGGCATGATTTTATGTTTTTTCAGGGGACCTCAGGATCAAAGGTGGATGCCCCCCAATGCATGCAGAGACCAAGAAAACATCCTTCAAATCGGAAAAAACAATTGCTGCGGTTCACGAAACAAAACACAACCTGGATACCCGACATTCAACAGGTCATCCTCATACGCCAGGGGGCGCGTTTGGCATATCTTTGCATCGGCACTTCACACCAATACCCATCCCCACATGTCCAGACAATCCGGAAAAAAAACGGGCCCAGTTCGGGACCCTGTTCACCCGGAACATTTTTTTGAAGTGCCAAAATTGTCGAGCGGGCCGGAAGGCTCAGCCGATTTGCTCATCTGTGGAGACAGTTCATTTGCTGTCATTCGGCAGAAGTTTGCAGCACCTTTGGTTGAGCCGGAGATTACTCGTTTGAATCTTGCATCATTCCTCAACCAGGACTCGATGCCGTGGTGCACGAGAATCAGATCCCGCCTCGAGTGGGGCAAAGGTCTCGGCCCTATCGTTCGAGCCATTGAAGAGGAGTTGCAAGAAATGAAGGATTTCAACAGCCGGAATGGGAATCCGGATCGCAAGATCCTCGTCCTTGTCCCTTGGGCAGAGAACGACGTGTACGGCGACTACGGATATGCCGGGTGCAAGTGGATTAATCAAAAGAGATACCTCAAAACTGAGGCGGACCGAAAGGTCGCAGCCGAATGGCCTTTTGCCCAACTCACGCGTGTCCGTGAGGCAGTGGAGAAGATCATCGAGCTGCGCAACCAGCCCGAAGTTGCTGACCTGGTCATGATCGGCAACGCCCCCGCGGAAGATTATGATCTTCCCAAGGCCTACAACAGGTACCTCTGCGAGCATTACGCCTACATGATCTCCAGAGGCGTGCCTTGCGTCGACCCCTCGACTCTCACCTCACAAGCCATATTTCATGATCAGTTCCATATGGCTGAACACCCAGGAACTTTGAAGTGGGGTGTGTCAGTACTTTCCGGCATAGCCAGCTGCGCGTTCCGTGCCTTTCAGGTCATGAGCTACAAGGAGGAAATCGAGCCTCTCACGATTCTCAATGCAGGAGAAGGTGAAGGTGATCTCCAGCTCATGGAGTTTTTCATTCGCTATCCGCCGATATCTGAGGTGCGTGCAACAGCTGATGTCATGCTTGCCAGAAGGCGAGCCGCAGAAGAGGTTGAACTCAACCCCGCGGACATCGTCGACTCTGTGGAACAGGAGATCATGAACTGGCTACAGCAAGAGGAGGAGGCCGACCAGTTGAGGCTCCAGGAGACCAGCCATGTTGTAGGGCATAGGGGGCGATATCGTTGACAATCTCTTCTTAGTTCCTTTGCAGGCTCAACACCCAGCCCCCTACCGGGCTCTCTCATCGAGTGCAGCATGTTTGGGATTTGCCGCTCAATACCAATGGACACAGGCTTATGTCGCTCTCCAATCGCAAGGTATCGTGTTTGTCCTCATTGGAAACCTGAAGTTGCTCAGCTCATGGGAACTGTCCAGTTAAAGGACGATCCCTACAAGGTCCAGTCTGACCCAGTAAAACCAGGTCCTCACTTCACTAGGGATCCACATACCCTTTGAGGTGATGGGAGACACTGTTATGTAGGTTTGGAGGGTCCGGTCGTACCTTCTGAGAGGGTATACACTTGGATTCGGGGCTTCATTGAGCAGTGTGTTTGATATTTTTGTATGATCAACTCCAGTCAGACTGGACCTGGTCCGCGGCGGATCGTCTTAGGACTAGTCCTACTGCAGGACTGACTACTAGAGGTGGAAACAGGGTCGGTGAAAACCGGTCGTACCGAGGTTTGTGGGTCCTCCATGCTGAGAGGACGACTGACGACTGTCAGATGCGACCAAAGGCCGAGGCCGATCACGCGACCGAAGGCCAATGGACTAGATGTGTCCCAGTGTCCCAAAGCATCCCAAAGCTATAAAGACATTCGGATCCGAATCCTCCAGGGTTTTTTTCGGGACTGAGCAGGGCTGTTTTCACGGAGCGTTTGGCTGTTTTCAACCAGTAGGCAGCCGTCGGTCTGAAGAGCATGACTCTTCAATGATTTATTGAGATGTCTGCCTGCAATTGAACCCATCATCCACCACTCCCTGGAGTCTTCATGGTTCCTAAGGCTCCTGCCCTACCTCCGTTTCGGTGCTTGGGGTTGCCAGGGGGGTCGAATACCATCGGTCACCTGAGGATATGGGGCGTTCGGAGTCCTAGGGGGTTACATGAGTGGCGGATGAGCATTCTTCTTCCGAAGACCAAACAGGTGGTACCATCACTCCACGTGGGCGGAGTTTTTTGTCCAGCGAGTCTACCCCCAAAAGACGGACGGCGACTAGCTTTCACGGAGGGTCGGCCATTGTTGGTCCACTGGTTGGTCCATTGGTTCCTGTTCTACATGACACTAGGAATCCACTGCCACCTTCTCAGAAGGTACGACCGGACCCTCCTGGCACCTACATGACAGTGTCGAACACATCACCTTCTGAGAAGGTACTTGGATCCCTAGGGTGAGGGTTGACAAGAATATTGTTCACTGCCTATAGAACTTTTTGCTTTTGATAGGTTCCTGAAGGATTGCGAAGGGATGAAATTTGGATCTGCCACTGATACAGATCCTTCGGAAGTAGATACATTGAAGGAACAAGAAACCCATAAAGTTTCAGTTTATACTAATCCCTCATGTTTGAAAGAAACAGTTTTCAAGAAGAAGCGATTTCGATCATTGAATGTCTGCGTAAAACAAACACATGGATGTGGGTTGCTTTTGGATGTGGGTTTCCTAACCATTTTCCATTGGATAAGCTTGTTCTGGCTTTTTGTGTTCGTCCAAGAAACCCAAGGACTTGAAAGATTTGGCATCTGGCCATGATGGCCTCGTCGTTGCGTCTGTCTAATTCGGGCCGCCACTTGGTGGCGCATGAGCAGAAGCGAGACAAGCCACTTTTGGGAGGCGGAGTCCGATTAAGAAGGCAACCATCATCGGGACATGATGCAACATGCCCCCGGCCCCGGTGCTGATTGCTACGAGGTTATCACGTGCACGTACCTTTAGTGTGTCATTTCCTTGGAAACTTCGACGTTGAACAGTTTCAATATGAATAAGGCGTTCACGTGCACTGTTCAACTGCGTTAAAAAAAGGGGAAGCACCAGCTGCCGAAAAAAAACAAAAACAAAAACAAAACAAAACGGTGGTTCAAAAAAAGGACTCCTAGCTCCATCTATCTACAAAAGTAATCTTAGGGTGCCAGTGCCATCTGAAACCACTGTAAATGTCCATCCATAAAAGACATGCCGGACTAGCATATTTGCCGATCAGTTGGGGTGTTTTGGCAGGGTCAATGTAGGTGTATATTCTATACATTGACATGAACTTTTGGGGAACAGTTGCAGTATCCCAGACCATCCATGGGACTGAACTAGTTAGATACGTTTCTATTGAAATATCCTTAAGACCCATTTATGAGCCTGTTGTAAGTATCATGTACCATGTATAAGTGTTACATACACTTATAAGTCTATAAGTGCATGGTGTGGGGTGTAGTTGTTTGTGGGTCCAACCTGGACTTTCAAAAGCATGGGAAGCATGGAATCAGTCGACGGATATTCCACATCTAGAAACTAGAAGGAAACGATCAGACAGTATATCACGTGGACAGCACGTATCGAAAAAAGCCGAGAAAGCTCATGCATTTCATGGCCCGGGATGTTGTTTAGATGCGCCAATTCGGGCCTCCGACGCTAGACCGTCGAGTCCCTTGTGCAGGTGTCCCCATGCTGCGTGCATGTGGGCGAATTGGGTGCAGTAGATCAAAAGCGACGTGAACATGCAGCGATGTGTTCCTTTCGATTCCGAAGCATAGAGAGTTTGTTCGGGCGCAAGGTCACAGTTTGTTCGGAGGTGATTGGTAGCACTGTGTGGGTTTTCTCTAAGCTGTCTCTCTTGGACAACGGATTCACTATAAGATTCCTGATTCACTGATCGAATCGGCTATACTGCCGGTGCGAAGATATAGAGGTCCCGATCGCGCAGGATGGCCAGACCATCAGGCTCTATATTGCTGATCAATTGACCCCTGGTCAACCACCTCAACTAATCGGCAGTGCTATGGCAGTCCCATTATAGTCGTATCTGGCACTGGTTGTCGCTTCGTGTGAGATGTCCAGCCTGTCCAGCCACGTGCCGACGGTACACTCAAAAGCGAACACGTGTCACATGGAAGTGGATAATGGCATGGTCGCTTGGAAGACTGCTTTCCTTTAAAATTGAACCTTTTAGTATTGTATTGATGGATCTTGCTGGTATGTCTCTCAGAGGTGGAGAGGGCCTCATTTTCCTCTCGAACCCCGTCCGGACGTGTTTTCTTCGGTAGCGGATGGGATCGACCGGTCAAGGGACCGGGTGTCGTGTGTGGTCGTGTCCAGACCGTGTTTGCGGACCGGCCTGCTGCGCAGCCTCTACACTCTCAAGGAAAACACGAGAAGTCATGAGAATGATGAGATATTTTCGCGTATCCACTTAGGACAATTCTGGTCACCGTCATGTTTGAAAGGATTGGCCGCCATTGGTTGATCCACCCAGGCCGCCAACAACTCTTCGTGAACTCCATGCTTTCCTGTTCCAGGACCTACTGAGAGTCTCGGATCGACCGACCTCCTGAGATCTCAACGGTCAACTGAAGCTCCTACCCAGCTGCTTCCGCCGCGGTGACCTGCCTGGACAACCCGCACTGCTTACCGGTCAACCAGACCGGACACCCTGACAGGGCTACCACCCTTCAGCCTCTACAGTCACCCTACAAGCACGGAGTCACGAAATTGGCTGAACAGGACCTCGCCCCAGACCTTGAGCAATTGACATCCAGAATTCGTGCCACTTGGCACGCCCCGGTTGTATTTTTGACACCCCGAGGTGGGCGCTCCAGTTTTGGTTGTCCCAAATCCGCCAACATCCATGATCAAGAATCAATTCACCTTTTACCTATATACTAGCCGGTTGAGCTGTGAAGACCAGGGTGTTCATTTGTCATGACCAAGCTGCGCAAGTGAGTAGACGCAGATGGAAGCTATACTATATCCACTACAGTACCCAGACAGTCCATGTCTGTCACATATGCCTACATTGACCCCTCACAACACCCCAATGTAGGTGAATATGTCAGTCCCATTCAGTGTTTGGAGTATAGATCTTGCAAACGCGATCAACACATGCCATGAGTGCCGGACTCACATGTGGCGCCGACTTTTTTGGCTCGCTTCGCTGTGGTGACTCGGAGACGGGTGTTGTGGGGTGAGGACGAGGCAACTGGTGGCGGGAGCTCAGTCTGGGTTGCTCCAACTTCCATTGAAAAGGAGCTGCTTGAAAATCAGTACGCACCTCATCCACTTGGGTGGTTTCACACATGTCGTTGAAATATGTTCAATGTTGGTTTGTTTCAACCTTCATGTGGGATGAGGAATCGCAATGACTCACTTTTGTTTGACAATTAGACAGCTGTAGAAGTGGCTGTGCAGGAAAACTAAGGGCAGAATAGTGTGTTGAATAGATTTTAATATTGCTTGCAGTTTGCTTGCATTATCCTGGCGCCATGACTCAGTACCATGTGTTAATTAATCTTCCAGACTTGAAGAACTATCGGGCAAGTCAAATCTTCATAGATCCGCCATCGTCCCTCTATCCATTTGCTTGGCCAAAGCTGAACCAGAAAGAAACATGTCTCGATAGCTTCCGTCCTTGTGTTTTCTTTGTGGTTTTCTTTGCGGCTTCTACAGAATCTGGGAATGGGTACATCACTTATGTCATGTAGGATTCATCAAAGGCCCCCGGCTGCCCCTCGCCCTTCAAGGTCAACAAGGTTTGAGATTGGAGACATTGACCACATCCCCCTAATAGAGGTGATGCCCTGATGATGGATGATGGGTGATGGGATGCTGTGTGAACCCTTTGTGAGCTTGAACACCTTAAGATTTTAATAGAGGTTTACCACGGAAGATTAGCAAATTTTGCTAGATAGTTTTTAGGGATCGTGGAACAAAGGTTGCTTGGCAGATCATTGGCAGCTTAGATGGCAGTTTTAAACAACACTCTAGTGAACTACTTTCACTTGCTGGGGGCAGATAGGCTTGATTGATAGGCGAGGTTTCTGCCAAGAAAAAAACCTATTAGAGGGATGCCAATGTGGACATTTAGGCGTCAAATTTGTTTAGTATTTGGGGGCTTGAGATGGGTTTTGTTTTGTTAGGGTCATGTCCCATTTTTCTAGGGTACTTTGGAGGATCCAGGTAGATCTAATCAGTCCAAAATCCGCACTTTGTTTTCTTTGTTGTCTCGTTGCAATTTGTTGGGCTCTCGGTGCGTGCGAAATGCGACACATGCTGAAATCGACCAGGACGATCCTGCGGGTGGCTGGGGCGCAGGAGCTACCAGTGGAACGGGAAGAGGAACAGAGATCGGTACAGTAGACCCTTTAGGACTCCACCTATATCCCTAGGGATCCAAGTACCTCCTCAAAAGGTACTTGGACCCTCCAAACCGACCCCAAACACCTTCTCAGAGGGTACTTGGATCCTTAGGGTATGGCTTCGTTTCGAAGGTGGGACTGGGATGGGTGGGTGCCAGGGGGGGTTCTCTAGATACCTTCTGAGAAGGTGGCTGCGGCGCAGGAGCCCACTGACCGGGATACCGCAGAAAGAGACCAAGTGGTGTGGACGCGGAGTGGTGTGGACCATGTGGACCACTGAAGAGGGTTTTTCCTCCAAAACAAAAGAAATATGGAACACAAGGTGCCCTGAATCCTTTTTGGCCCTTTTGGAGGGCAGTAGTTGGAATCAGTAGTACATGGCGTCCCCCCACCTGTAGTTGGTGTGCACGAGAGTTCTCCAGAATCCTCGACATCTCCCTTTCAGCAAGAGTTCTGAAAAAGAACAGCAACGGGCACTGTACTTGCACTGAAGCAACGGGCGCTGTTTGGGTTGCACCTGCCTCTTTGAGTTGCATCGTTGCTTTTTTGGCACGTCACGAATACGAGGTGAAGCAAGACATAAAACACATGGCTGATCGTGTATCGAAATGGTCACCCCTCCAAAAATATATACTGCTTCCCTAAGGATCCAAGTACCCTTTGAGAAGGTGTTTGGGGTCGGTTTGGAGGGTCCAAGTACCTTTTGAGGAGGTACTTTGATCCCTAGGCCTTCTAATCTTCCATGTGAGGCAGCCACACGGTCGGACCAGTGCGGGGAATCCACGTCGCAGGAGGATTTGTCTTGTGAGGGCTACCACTTTGATGGCGTGGCTGGGTGCCCAAGTCATGATGCGGCCGAAGCTCTTGAGACACCCAGTGTGTGGTGGAACAAATACTGTCCCAGCTGATCCATGAACGCAAGGGATTCGTGTGAAATGACGTAACATTCACCACGAGAAGTTCGAACACCAGTCTGTTAATGCGTGTGGCTCATGGCACCTGGAGGCATTCGATCTCGCTACACCCTTCATTCCCGCTTCACCCTTGGATAGGTTCACCATGTTTGGTGGATAGACCTCCTGTTCACCTCGCAGACATTGGATCCAATCCAAGACATTCTGACTGTCCAGGTAGGTCCGTGATTCCGTGATGGTCCGTAACCCCGTACTGAAACCATGTACAGGAGAAACTCCCACCATTCTCTCCCTAGGCCTCCAGTCGTACCTTCGTTTCGAAGGTGGGACTGGGGTGGGTGCCAGGAGGGTTCAGTCGTACCTTTTGAGGAGGTATGACTGGAGGTGTAGGGTCTGTGTTCACCACATCCCCATCCTGTTCCCCTGGGACTTCCGCCGTTTGGTCAAACCACCCGATGCCACCGGCCACGCCGCGCTCGGAGTTGCCTACTTTGGGTCCCGGCGGAATCGAAGCGATACGACCTTCGGATGACATGGGATTTTGAACACATACATGGGCACTCACATTCGCCTACGTCATTTGCCTTACCCTTTTTGCTTTTGAACGGACCTATTATATGATTAAGTGGTCAGTGGAACGGACAAGACATGAGAAAAATGAAAGATTAGCGTGAGAAAGGCGTGTTTTGAATAAGGATTACAAGCACTATCTACAATCAAATGCCCTTGAAGCTCCTTTTTTGTGCCCAAACCTTACTCAATTGCTGCATTGGGCCGTCCAAAAAGGGACACAGTGGCGCAAATCGGTTTTGGATCGGTCTAAACCAATTGACTCGTTCGTAGGTATTCATTGATCAAGGTTTCCATGCTGATCATGCTGCATGGTGTTTGCATGGTTGCAGTGAGATGTTTTTGAGAACAGACTCACTGCAACCAGGCTTGGAGAGTATGACACTCAATGCACATGTTGAGTTCAAGCTAATACCCCCAACACTCCAAGCGTTTGACATACAGTAAAGCGAGGGTGCACAGCTTCCATGTCCTAACAGCTTATGTTTGGGGGTCGTGCAGAATAGTGCCACTTCTGAGGATTGGGGATCCTTGAGAAGACGCTTCGAGATCTATGCTGATAAGTGCCCGCCCTTCAGTGTGTACAGCATCAGATGTACATTGTGCACCACCGTTTGGTATGTTGTGTCCAAAATGGCCTGAACTTTGATGCACACCTCTTGCAGACGGTTGGAAGTAGAGGAATATGTACAAGAAACAACCAAATTGTTTGCAAAAGCATGTATCGCATATTAGGGAAGTGGACCCCTTACAATGGAGAGCGTGGCTAGCATATCCAGCTCCGCTGCAGGGCTGCAGGGCTATACAATACTTGACGGGATAGACTTGCCCCACCACGACAGAGTCATTCGTGGCAGCATCAGCTATGCTGGAGCTGTTCATGTGGCTGAAGAAGAGGGTCTCCTTGAAGGTGTTGGTTGAGGTCCGATATCCACAGTCCATAGTTTGACTGTGAATATTGGCTTCGGATGAGAAGAAACGCAAGGTGAGAACACGGTTTGGGACTGCTCCCGAAACGACCTGTCCACCCGGATTCCGTACCACCCAGAGGAAAGGAGACAATGAGAAATAGATCTACAGTGGGTAGATGGCACAAACCCACATGTCTTTTGTAGTATAGGGGTGCCCATAGGGGTGCCCATATAACCACCCAACTTGGGGTAAATTGTGCCATCGAACCTCTGAAACAACTTGAACCTATGGCGCCATCATTGGCTCGTAGCTCACTGTCCTCGATCGCTGCATGCAGAGTGGCAAGGCCAGAGGAAAGTGTTGCTTCATCTCTTGAGCCCTATAAACACACATACTCCAGGACCTTCAAAGTAACCTTTTGAGATCCTAGAATGAGGTCACGACTCGTCCCTAAAGAGGTCACTTAGACCAAATTTGGTCACTTTGAAGGTCGCCTTCTCCGGTAGCAACTGGATCCTCCTTAGCACCGTACATGTTTAGGTGTTCCTTCTCATCACCTTCTCGTGGGATCCGTAGATCCCTCAAAGGGGGACCGAGTCGTCGTCGTCGTCGCGGACGTCGTGATGCGTCACCAGGCCCGGTACAATCGAAGCTGGCACGATCTGAAGCTGGCGAATGATAGACTGATTAAACCCACCTATTTGAACTGGACATCCTCTTCTTATGGGGGGCCAAATATACATCCCAAAATAGTCTGACCTCCGATCATGATTGACCACAATGCTTGGATGTAGTGTCGGTTAATTAAATAACATGCTCAAAGTGCGACAAGCATCCACATTGAAACTGGAAACTTCAGCCTTGGCCATTGGCGTAGAAATATCAATGACTTGGCCCCAGGTTTGACCGAAACACGCATAGATCGTAGTTAAGCACTGTTTCGAGTTGTTGCATCTATTTTGAGAGACGTGAAAGACACAGCTCCATTGGCTCGGTGAACACGGACCGTCTGACTCGCTGCGGACCGTCCGCTGTTCGGTCGGTGCCGCGTTTCTCGAGGTACCTGGACCGTCCGCAGCTTCTGGCCGAGGAGTTGGTGCGTGGTGCGTCCACTCGACATGGAAGCTGTGTGGATCTGAAAGTCTTATAGGCAACAGGAGTCAGAAGCTTCAGAAGCTTCAGAAACAGTGTGTCATGGAACAAGTTTGTTTGCGCCGACGCACTTGCGGAGTTCTGTTTCCGGATTTCCACCCGAGAAGGGCGTAAGAAGGCGCAATGAAAGCGGTCTTGGGGGGGGGGTCAACGTTCTTCCTGGATCTGTCGGAGCATCTCTTAGCTTCACCACGGTACCGTAGACGCGTGCCCTGTCGGATCCGGTGCCGGCCCGCCTCGTGCGACTCAGCGAGCGGGTCGCTTCACCGTCCTTGGCTGACCGAGCGTCCCAAGGACTCGACATTCCTGAGACTTTGCAATGAATCGACCAATCCCTAGGGATCCAAGTGCCTCCTCAAAAGGTACTTGGACCCTCCAAACCCACCCCAAACACCTTCTCAGAGGGTACTTGGATCCTTAGGGAATTACAGAGGGTATAGTCTTTGGACCTGGCGTAGGCGAAGGGGTTACGGTTACCATAAAGCATATAAAAGCATATAATTATATACTATAGAGATATATGTTTCGACTGCGACAGTTGTGTCATGACAGTTGTGCTGCCCATTTTGTATGGCCGGATCTTCAGGTCGTTGTGTTGGTTTTCCTTGTCGGTGCCTATTTGTGGCAGCAAGCGCACTAAGACTTGCTTGGGTTTGGGAATTGCCTCCAGATGATCTTTGCATTATGGATGAGTCGTGGGCAGTATTTAAACATGCATTTATTGTCTAGCTAACACACGCCAGGGAACACGAGAGGAGCTTGCCTGAAAACTCAACTGATGCTATAATAGGCTGATATTTCTGCGAGAGTCCCTCGCCCAAAGTTGTTTTGTGGTGGTTTTGATGTGTCATAAGCTTAATTCAGAGTTGTTCATCCTGATGTTGATGGGTTTAGCGATTTCATCGGCTTCTGGCCAATGCCGGCATCAAGCCCAAAAAACTTGTTTGGCTTCCAAACAGATCGAGGAGTTTGACTTGGCCAAGAGCTATGCCTTTAGCTATTCGCCTGAAAACCGATGCTTGCTGGGCGATCTCACTTTAAGGCAAGTCACCGGGGCGAGAAGGTGCCGCAAGAAAGGTAAACATGGGAAAGAAAGGTCAGGCAAGCATAGGAAAGCTGGTTGCTTTGGGATTCTCCGATCAACATGTGAATCAATCTGGAAGGTTTACAACACCTTGGTTTCCTACTTTCAACCTGCTAGGGGCCTCCTTTGCACCTTAGGTCCTTAGGTTGAAGTGGCAAAAGTTAGATTTCACAAAGCAGGTGATAATCCCTTTTTAGGAATTGTTCAGTATGCATGGATATTAGACTATTCCGTTGAGCTTTGGATGCACAAATTGCTGTGCCTGCAGTTTGGATACTCAGCCAGTCTTTTTTGGCTGCTGTTTGACCTTGGCCTCCGGAAAGCACAGCAGCACAGCGCATCTTGGAGGTCGTGTCCGGTCGTGTCCGGTGATTTTTAGGGGTCACGGGTCACTTGAAAGGTATTTGGGTGTGTTCAGTTCGAACGATTCTGTGACGTTGCATGATGGTCCAATGGTCAAGTGCGTGGTGCGGGGGTGGCGGTGCGTGTTTGCACCCGTCCAGACGCACTGAACACGCAAGTCAACTTCCAGAAACGCCCTTTGGCTGGAAGCGGGGTGGACCATGTGAATATATAGACCAAATCATCTGTGCTTTTACTGGTTTAGACTAAATGCAAGTTTGGGGTGTAAGAAACATAAAGAGCTTCCCAGCCTGTTCAATCATTCAGTACAAAGTAGTCTGTCAAGAGAGAGGCAAGCTATTACTCGTGGATCTCGGAGAGCAACCTTCGTCTCACTTGACTTGAAGTGACTCGCCGTCGTGTCGTGTCGTGTTTCCAGCTTCTTGCTGCCCTCCAAGCTGTGCTTGGCACGGACCTGTTCTTGGTCGAAGATTTGGCGGAGCAGGAGCACAGACTACGTCTGCCGCGAACCGTCTCAATCCTCACCTGCTCAGCCCTCGTCCAGAGGGTCTGGGTCTGGGTTCCTGAGGAGGCACCAACTTACTCTACGTTGGTGAGAACAGTGAGGAGGCCGGTGGAGAGGCAAGACACACCATCCGCGGACACAAGGCAGGTTGCAGTCTGAGACGCCCTAGTAGGAGGAGACGATTGAGGAATTGAGGAAGCATTCATGGCAGACCATGCTTGGGCGAGCGTGGTGAGAGTTCACCATGGCGTGTTTTTCGTACGCATGCCGAATCTGATCGTGCAAAACCCTCACGCCCAATCAAACCTGCAGTTGTTGTCAACGCATGGTGGGCAGAAAGGGTATGTTGAAGGTCGCAAAAAAAATAAACAAACACACGCAATAGCTGCAATGGCTGTGGCCCGAGAAGCGCGGAAGAGAATGCCTGCAATGATGCGCGGTGCCCTTGGATGTGACCGCCGTGGCTGCAAACAGATTCCGAAGAAAATATTGAAACAAATTAAAAAGCGGGTCGAGTGAAGCGTGATGCATGTTTATAGTCTCTGTGGGTTGCTGGATTCGTTGGCGACAGGCGCACCCGGAAGTTCAATGCATCTTGATAAAAGACACTCCGGGCTCTACCAACTGCCCAAACACGCCGGCGTCCAATGCAAAGGTGACGAGGCTGGCTGAACCCCAAACCTGCTTTGGCTTAATGCCTGGGAGGCTCAATGACGCCCTTGAAGCACCTGAACCAAGACATCGTGAATGAGATCCGGCAAGCAATCGTGAACGTGTGGACAAGGCCGCATGGCTCCTCCATATTGAGGATGTGAAGGATGTGAATCACCTTTGGCCACGCATGGGCATGTTTAAAAGTTCAAATATTGGCACTTGCAGAGCCATATCTGATAGATTCCGACATTGCTTTGGCGCAAGGAATTGTTAACCCATTGAAGCCATTAACAGACCGGCAGTGGAGCCCAGCAGATCGAGATCACGAGCTGAAAGATCCACGAGTTAGGGTGAGGTATGGGAGGCCAAGAACATGGGGCAAGTGGCCAAGATCACCCAGATCTTGATCTCCAAGTCCACCCTCTCCTCAAGCTCTAAGACATGACTTTGCGAGTCCTCTCAGTTCTACACCCAATGTTCTCTGGCTGTTGAACGAAGCAACATCAAACTCAATTCTGGTTGACCCTTGATATGTTTTTCCCTCAATGAAATGCAAGATGGTTATATGATGCATGAGCAAGTGTAGCGCATAGAAAACAGTAACAAAACATGACAAACCACGGCTATTGAGAGCACACCGGGTGGGTCAGATGTGCCATGGCCCGGAGTGGATGAAGGCCCGGCCAAGCAACGGCAGTTCAATCAGCCACTGGCGACTGCACTGTGAGACAAGCTCCAAGCGGTGCACTGCTTTCGCGGGATGATCGCACCTGCATCATCCCTAAGACAGGTTGCAGTCTGAGACTACCCAGAAGTCAAGCGTGATGCATGTTTAGTATCTGCAGGTTGCTGAATTCGTTGGCGACCGGCACGCCCAAAAGTTCAATGCATCTATAGAAGACACTCCAGGCTCTACCAACAATGCAAAGGTGACGAGGCTGGCTGAACCCAAAACCTGCTTTGGCTTCATGTCTGGAAGGCTTAATTTCAATGACGCCCTGTATACAGAAGCACCTGAACCAAGACATCGTGAATGAGATCCGGCATGCAATCGTGAACGTGTGGACGGCCGCATGGCTCCTCCCATTGAGGGTGTGAAGGATGTGACGCTCCTTTGGCCACGCATGGGCATGTTTAAGAATTTAAAAGTCACTTGCAGAGCAGTATCTGATAGAGTCCGACATTGGTTTGGCGCATGCAATTGTTAACCCATTGAAGCCATTAACAGACCGGCAGTGGAGCCCAGCAGATCAAGATCACGATCATTGGACAAAAGATCTGAAGATCCAGGAGTTAGGGTGAGGTATGGGAGGCCAAGAACATGGGGCAAGTGGCGAAGATCACCCAGATCTTGATCTCCAAGTCCACCCTCTCCTCAAGCTCTAAGACACGACTTTGCGAGTCCTCTCAGTTCTACACCCAATGTTCACTGGCTGTTGAACGAAGCAACATCAAACTCAATTCTGGCTGCTCCGTGGATCTATAGAGATTGGCAGACGCAGAGGCGGTTGACCCTTGATATGTTTTCTCCCGCAGAGGGTTATATGATACATGAGTCAAAATAGTGCACAGTTCAATCGGCCACTGGCAACTGCACTTTGAGACGCTCCGAGTGGTGCACTGCTTTCGTGGGATGATCGCACCTGCATCATCCCTTTGGGCGAAATTGTCAGCGTGGAGGGAATGTGGAGTGAGTTTGTGGAAGTTACGAGCTTAAGCACCCTCAATTCGACTCTGTCTTGGTGAACATCGTTGCAAGCAGCATGTGCACATGTGTCCATGGAGGATAGACGACGGATGATGAACTTCCTGGAAGCCAAGGCGAAGAAACCCAGTGCAGTGAATCGCTATGATGAGACGCTTGGCCGCTTGGCGCTGACCAGTTCACGCTGAGTCCCGGGCAGTTGAAGAAGAATTTTCCTGAGGCTGGCCATAGACAAGGAAGGCGAAGGGCATCATCCTGAATTTGCTCGCTGGATGTGATCTGGGATGGTGGCTCAAACGAGAACCGGATAACTGGGCCATTGTGAATGTGCATCTCTTATACAGAGGCAGGATATTCTTGATGATGCGGCGATGGCCTTCCTCATGAAGCACGCGAGGAGTGTGAGTGAGAATGTTATTGTGTTATTGGTATTGAGATTGAGAGGGCGGAGGCCCAAGACGGGTTCGAGACAGAGAAGGAGAAGGAAAGGTGGAGCAGGCTTGACCAGGCCCTATGAGAGAGTGTTGATGTTTTTTTTTGGATTGCCCGTCTCGGCCCGGACCCGGCTCGCACCAGCTTATCAGGCGAGACGACTTATAAGCGATCCTTCCAGGGCCGAGCTGGGGGGAAAGCAACACGAACTGCGGACTGTCATTTATGCATTTGATACCCACAAAGGTCTTGGGCGTTCAGGCGATGTCTTGGATATGCTTCGAGAACTTGGACGGTTTCGTTGAGCGCCCTTTCAGCCAAAATGTAAGGGAATCTCTTTGGACACAACCTCAGAAAAGCTTCAGATCTTCCTGCCAACTTAAAAAAGGGTTCTCCCCTGCCTGCTCCCGGCGCCTGCTTGGCCGCTGGAGGTTCTTCCTTTGGTTGGCCGTGAGCCCGTCCGAGCTCCGCGCAGCCGTCGCCGCACTGTCGAGCGACGGAGCAGCTGCGTCGACCCTGACGGAGCTCATGCAGGTGACCGGTGTGGGGTGGGGCGGTGGATGGGACAAGCAGCGGCAGATTCAATGAAGATATGGCTGGCTGAACAAAGTATACCGGGTGGAGCGTCAGGGGTCTTAATGTGTTAAAAAAGGTGTTTGAAGGTCAACAATGTGTGTTTTCTTGCCAGCCGGGCATCTGAGAGGAACAAATGTTTTAAGCAGGTTTCAAACACGCGTTGGGATGCGTCGGGTGTATGAGTATCAAATTATAGGGAAACCTCCCAGTTTGACCCCAAGGAAGAAGGAAAATCGACAAACACCTACCTCTGACTCTGGCCGGATGTTTCCTTCCCAGGAGACTTGGACTTGGTTCTGGGACTTGCCGCTCTCGTGGGAGGCACAGCGCCGCTCAGCCGCTCCGTGGGCGGGCGCATGTGCCGGAAACACGCCGCCCTGGGCGGGAAGCGTGGGAAGCCCCATGTTTTGTGGCGTGGGTTTCCGTATTGGACCGTTTCTTCTTGTCTTTGTTGACGGACGATGCACCTTGGAATAACCTCTTTGAACAGGCACTTTCGGTCCGTGCCTGTGCCGAAGGTTTAAACAAACACGTGCCCTATTATAGGAACGGTTCCAACTATACGTCCTGAGGTTCGGTTGAAGCCTGGACAGGACTGGACCGTTTGGCGCCAGGAGATCTTGAAATCTGGGTGGCCACTCTTCAGTATTCTCGCAGCTGTGTGGGGGCTCAACGAGCTGCGGCGTCCGCAGACAAGGATCGCAATGGAGGTGGAGATCCCTCACTTTGGGGCCTATGACCTATGAAGTATAGACATTGGTAGACTATAAATTGAAATAATCATATTTTGTACATCTGCAGATATTGCTTCTTTCAAACCCTTGGTTGAAATCCTAAGTGGACACCTTTTGGCAACCCATCCTTGTAAGCCAGCATAACTTTGACCGATCGCTTGGGACCATCCTTTCGATCGTCTAGCTGATTTCGAGCTGGTGGCTTCAGGTCCGGTCTCCTGGTGTCCTTTGGCCCTAATCAAGCTCCTGGTCTTGGTCCGGTCTCCTGGTCCTTTGATGCTATGTTGAGTTTACAGGTGTCGCAGCATGTGTTGACTGCTTAATGTTCGATCTTGATTAGTAAGCAGGCCCCTCCCCCTCCGCTAACCAAATAGGAGGGCCTCTAGAATTAACTACCACGTAAGCAAGCATGGGTTCCTGGCAGGATTCCTGTTGTAATTGACTGTAATTTTAATTTCCTTTCTCAGGTTCTTTGTACTTGTATATTCTCAGCAAGCCAGCCATTGGCTTAGTAGCGCTAAGAAATATTTCTTATTGAGGAAAAACTATACACAATTGAGGCTCCTGAAAGCAAATTAATTACTTAGTTCCAGGCTGGTCTACTACCGTGAAAGTTTGCTTAAGGGCAATCTTTTTCCTTTTACAGGATTGATTAAGGACTTGATGGCTTTGGGAAGCTGTCAGTTGAAGAACTAGAGAAGCCATAGTATACTGTTCAAAAAACCTCAAAGCCCGTCGTCGGCTTAGTCGTATTGGCAGATCTCCGAACGCTTGTTACATCCTAGTTATATTTCAGATAATTAAAATGGTTAGGGCTACAAAAAAGGTTAGCATAATTGACAACCCTTATATCCCTCCACTGAAGCTTGGAATCCCAGTTTGGAAAATATCCGGAGAGCATTAGGGGTCGAAAAGTACCGGGGGCCCTGTAATTTGTGTCGTTGTAATCTAAATTTCGACAACTTAGAATGCGTTGCAAGCCGGGGCCGCTTCCGAATGCCAATGGAATGTTTAGTGTATATTTCTATTTGTGTGAGGCAATGTATGAAACCATCATCTCACGACCAGAGAACTGCGTCCTCCTTGTGACATTGGCTTCACGTGAGAAGGGAAGGCTCCAATGAAGACCCAATTGCTGATGAGATTGAGCTGCATGCCAAGCTGAAGCAGGTTGGCTTCACCACAAGTCGGCGATGGTGTCAGGTGCTTCAAGTGCCAAGTGAGGAGTGTCCTGGCTTTGTGTTGGAAGATGCTGTATAAGGGTAGTGAATTTGTTGGGTGACTCTCTGATTTGTTGGGTGACTCTTTATGTTGCCAACCACATCTGTCTCGTGCCTGCAGTGGGACTATTTCTAGTCTGGCCGGCTGTATTTCTATGGCCCTGGTGACTGCTTGGCGGGACCTCAGTGAGTTGGCGCGCACTGGCCGCGTTCCTGCAGCTACTGTCATTGGCAACCAGGAGATCTTGCAGATGCAGGACCCTTCGGAGTCCGAGCGGTTTGAGAACCCAAGGGTCTGCGCGGCCACAAGGTCAGCTCAGAAAGGGCCAGATGTCACCATGGCACTGTACAAGACGCTCTTGACCAGTTCGAGGACATGTGCTGCCAACTCTCAGTTGTTGATGCCCGGGGGCAATGTGGTCATTTGTGATGTCCACGGTCATGCTGGTGATCTCAGGAGAGATTTTGTCAGTGATTAAGAAGAGAACAGTGCCATCAGGAGCCACGTCCAGTGTATATGCACACAAAAAGGGCATAGTGGAGTATGTACATATATATATATATGTGATATAGTGTGTATATATATGTATATTTGGATAGGTATACATATTTCAGGAATCACCTAGCTAATTTGCGAATATATTCCTCCACTGAAACTCAGAATGCAAGTTCGGAAAAATGGGGTGACGTAAACCTGAAAAGTACAGGGGACCCCTTGACAAAGTCTGTTTCGTTTAAATCCAAAACTGAGAATGTACAAGGACCCCTGAAATGTCCAACTTTTCACTTGTCACCTACTATGTTCTTGAGCTGCATTCCACCCTATTCCCTTTTCCCGGTGTGTTTCTCTTTCCCGTTCCTTTCCATTTGTTCTGTTTTGTCCCGCGCTCCTCTTTCTGTCCTGCTCCTTTCCCTCCCATCCTCTTCACATGATGCATTCCAAGTAGACTTTCTTCCCAGGCCATTTCCCTCATGTCCCAAAAACCTCCTGGACAGAGTCTAGGGATGTGATTGTGATGAATTTTCACTGCCCTGCATGTTTCTTGCCCATCTTCTGGCTTATTAAACACCCTTGCCCCACCCTGTCCTTTACCGCTTCCTTCTCATGAGCCGCCTCGACTGTCTGCAGAGGGCATTCCAAGTTTTCAACCTACCCTTGCCACGGTCGGCGACGTGCCCCTCCGAAAAGCTCCTTGACGCGATCTGTGATGCTCTTGAGTATAGCATTCAACCTTATTCCTTTTTCCCGATGTGTTTCCCTTCCCCGTCCGTTGTCCTCCGCTTTCCTTGCTGTCCTGCCCCTTTCCCTCCCATTCTAGCTTGTGCCTGTTCTACTTTTTCCCTCCTTGGCCTTCTATCACCTTTTAGCATTATAGAAGGCTCTATTAGGCCCTATTACTAGTCAATAGCCCAGCAACTTTCATTCATAACAATTTGCTTTAAGACATTTATGTATTTTCTAACAACCTTTCGTTCAATTACTTCTCTTTTGAAAACAAAGTGTCAAAACATACAAAATTCACATACATGTTGTTTTGTTGCAAGCAAAACAACCAATTCATTTGATAGAGGGGGTCCATTCTCTGGCCACAGGCTGTCATTTCTTTTCTCAGCCAACGCGGGCTGTCTCAGCCCATGAAATGTGCAATGTCTGCACCTCTCCAATTGAAAAGAATACGTTTGCAACATAGCTTCAAAATTGAGATAAACAAGTTGCATGGTTCCAATGGGTTCTGAGGACTTGCAATCAATGTGACAGCAGCTCATGCCCTGTCCTTGCTCAAAGAACATGCGCTAGCGTATGTGACAAGGGTGAAGCCTTGCCAGATGCTTGTGCATACATCGAACAGGGGAGGGGCCTTGGTGAATGCCTTGCATGTTGTCCAGAAGGGGTAAACAATATGCCAAGTTGTGTGGGATCTCCAGGAGAGCAAACAAGTTGTAGTTGCAGATTGTGCCTGGGAGCGAACCCCGGACACAAGCAACCATCCAAGCCAATATGAAGTTTGCAGAGCAGAGTGATGGTGTCCCTGCAAAACCACGTGGCCAAGAGCGCTTCTGTAGTTTGTTCGTCTCTCACACTACTTGTTTTCTGAATGACAATGTGCCTTTGGAACAATTGATTGTCAAGCAAGATGACCTTGGACACGTCTCACGGCTGGATCGGACAGAAAAGAACTGCAAAAGTCGATGAATCAGTACCAAATTTTGGTTGGTTTGTTGACCCAGGATTTCAACATCCCTTTCCTTTGACAAAAAACATGTTTTGACAAGCAAAAAACTAGACGACGAGTGGCCCGAAAGCATTTTTCATCACGTAGGAAGTCAGGTTGCGAGTTATCTGTTAAGTGTGCAGTGTGAAGTGTTAAGTCGAGTGAGTTGAGGTAGTGTGTGGGTCTCTGTGTGTGTATCTATGTCCGTGTGTATATGAGTCTCTGTCTGTGTGTGTGTCCGAGTAAGTTGAGGCAGTGCGTGGATCTCTGTGTGTGATGTGTGTGTGTGTGTATGAGTCCCTGTCTGTGTGTGTATGTCCATGTCTGCTGCTGGTGAAGGTCTTCACTGTACATATAGTGAACGAATTAGTGCGCAGGCCTCCCAAACCCCCCACCGGCGGCCAAGCGGTGACAGCCCAGCTCATCGTCGTGAGCATTTGGGCTGCTGGTAAGGGGAGAAGCAGCGTGCACGCCTCCAGGAAATCTCGCTGAAAAAAGCAAGCTGCAATGAAGCGTACTAAAGTTGTACTACAAAGTCGCCAGTTCTCATCTTCCAGCTCCACAGATTGCTCCGCGTACTAAAGTTCTACTACCAAGTCGCCAGTTCTCATCTTCCAACTCCCCAGATACTCCGCGTACTCAAGTTGTACTACCGAGTCGCCAGTTCTCATCTTCCCACTCCCCAGCTACTCCGCGTACTACAGTCGTACTACCACGTCGCCAGTTCTCAGCTACTACCCACTCACCAGTTCTCATCTTCCCACTCCCCAGCTAC